TTTTCACTCTATTTTGTCGATGATAATGAGGCCGGTCTTGCCGCCAAAAATAACATCAGTAGCGGTTCTATGTTGTTGTTGTGTTTTTTTTTTGGGGGGGGGGAGGGGGGGGGGGGGCTGAGGGGTGGAGATCAAGGCCCCAACATTTTTCCCGTGGCACGTAATGAAAGAACCTCAAGGCCCCCAGAAGCCCCAAATCCCCCAAATGTTATACTAGAACCCGTCCTACCCCTTGTACTATGTACAATGCAATCCCATGTACTTTATTTATTTTGTTGGAATGGAAATAAACGAAATAAAAAAAATAAAAAAAATAACATATTCTTCGAAGGTACTATGTCCCATTTGCAGGCCAAACAAAATAAGACAAAAAATAAAGGGGCCACTGGCGAAATGGGGGAGGGGCACTTGTCTAACTCGATCCTCGATGAATAACATTTGAATTAAAAAGATTATTGATCAGAGAGAGGCTTAAAGCAGTGGGCATTATCGTTTATCATTTTCTTATTTTGTCCTTTCCCCCTCTCCATTCCAGTTTTTCTCTATTTCTCTCCGTTCCTCCTCTCCCCCTTCCCCCTGTCCCCCTTCCTCCTTTTCCTCATTCGAATGGGGTGGGGGCGCACGTGTCTTCATGCTCCTTAACTACGCCTCTGGTCCTGAAGGTTTCCCCCATGGACCATGTACTTTTTTCACGAGCGCGGCAAACTTGATTTTAAGGATAAGTTTTGGAGAATTCATTCTTTATTTTTTGATTACGATTACATGATCCCATATGTTGATAAAGGTTATTTTGAAATCAAGATGATGATATGTTTCATATCATATCATGATTTGATATCGAAAGGGATTGGCTAGTTATCTTGTCGCCATCAAATGTGACTTTCCGACATTGCTGTAAGATTGTGATCAGTAGAAACTAACCTTTCCAAAGACGTAAAGTACATGTATGTACGACCTAGTACAGCAGACTCTTATATCCTTGTCTCCCGCCCGCTTCCAGTTTGCATTACCTTCTTTTGAACAACAAAAAGAAAGAAAAATAAAGGACAAATAAAAAATACATTAATAGATTTAAAGAAAAAAAAAATAAACAAAAAATATTTAAGTATAAAAAACAGAGAAGATTAATTTTTCTTATTTTACTTCTACTTATATTTGAATCTCGCAAGGTTTGAGAAGCCGAACCCTGACTAATATGAAAGAATTAACTGTACAAGACATCTTGTATTAAAACATGTGAAAATATGAAATAGATCGGAACCGGCCCGCCCTCCTCCTTTTGTTGTAGAATCCTTGAACCAGAAACTAATTATTCGTTCGCCGTAATTACGTTTTTAGTTTTCTGTGGTTTTAAATATTTTGACCATAGCATTTCTGAAAACGATAATATATTTTAATTTACTTGAATGAACTATGTACTCGCATTTTCCAGATAAGGCTTCATTTTGAGGTACAATACATTTTAATACCTCTGGGAATTAAGTATTCTAACTCGCACAGGCCTGTAATATATATCAAATTTATTTATGGAAGCCTGAATGCAATAATAACCATTTCGTACTTCGAGTAAAAAAAGGCAATACTTCCTACATTTGAGGATGACAGAGGCGGGTATATTGGCAGTGCCTATATCCTAAAAGAAATCGTTTGCACGTGTAATAATATCATTTACATCTGTCCCATGTGATTGTGAGTGATGTACTTCAGATGTCACGAAGCTTTTGGCTTAGGAATTGTTGTTATTGTGACAGATTGCAAAGAAAATGCTTGTTGTAGTCTATAAATTTTTAAAATCTAATCTGATTAATCATCGGGAAGGAAAGGAAATTTTGCTCAACATAATCTTGTAATGCTTATATATACTTCTAATGGCTTTCACATGGTTGTATCTTTTGGGGGGAAGTAGCTATTTTTTTTTTTTGGGGGGGGGGGTGGTTCATTTAAAAGTACGGTTCAAAATCATTGGAAGGAGATGCTTTGTTTTGCATGTGACTGTACACAAACTTCATCAGTAGCGCAGCGCACTCGCACCGGTAGCTTGTGTAATCTCGAAAATATGCCTCTATAGTTTGGTGTAATCCTTAAACTGTGGTGGCAAATTTGCACCCCAAGTAAATAAATTCTTGCACTTTGTGATTTTCTATAGCTCCCTAACCCACTCAAAGATTAAAAACTCATTATGCCAACGAGAGAAAATTTGCAATATTTAATTCTTCTGCAAATCTATACCACTCCCAGTGTTTTTTTTTTAGTTTGTATAGAAACGTCAGAGCTATTGTGCTTTCGAGTCAGTTGACTGGGTATATGGGGCTTTTATACGCCTCTATCACCATGACAACAACCTATGTTTGAGTGCTGGAAGTTTAGTCGGAAGTCGCATTAAATATTTAGTTATCACAGCAGTGCGTTATGTCGTTATCTTGTGTCAGTCAGAACTGATGAGATAATCTTTCGAACCTTTTAATGTCATTGTAATGATTATGACAGTCTTACCAATAGGATATAGGCCTATGTCGGATGTACGTCGATGTTGGAATAATTTATTATCTCTAAAACTTTCATTAAAGCGTCTGTGTTCTGTGATATATTGGTCATGTCTTTACGTAAATTGAAATTAATTGGTTTTTATGAAATAGAGCAAAGACATTATAAATCAACTAAACGGCAATTTCGATATTTAAATGTATTGCTTATCGAAATCGTGTTATGATTACGTGATCGGTCAAGGGTCGTGTTTGTTCATTTCCATGTCGGTTACGCACCCGGTTACTGAAATTGATTTGTAAACATCTTTGCGATCCCATCTTATCAAAACTTGATTGTTGAGTTTTAACAAGACATTTGGAACTTGCTGGATCTAGCCGGAGTAAGGAATACGAATGGAAACAGAAATTGTAGAATGTTACGTTGCATGTTCATTATAATTATTGGTCTACTCCATCGCATCAATTTTTTCAGTGTATTAAAATGAATTAATTGTACGGAAATTGCAGATTGATTGTCTTGTCATTAGCGTGAGGCCAAACATGCTTAACTGTAATTACACTTATTAATCGTGTTAGCTATATCATGCTGTGTTCAAGCAGTTTTTCGTTTCTTTGCTCCTTGAAAGCGAGCCAAAATTTCAATTATTGAAGCTTCTATTTCGATCTCCATGAAGAAAATGGTTAGATGTCATTATGAAAAAAAATTGATATTTGGTATTCACTTAAACTGTTAAAGAGATTGCCTCATTGCTTAGGAAACCCACATGAAGAAGGGGAGAGGAAGAGAGAGAAGGAGAGAGAAAGAGAGAGAAGGAGAGAGGGAGAATGAAAGCGAAAGATATGGAGGGAGAGAAAAGGGGAGAGTGAGTGATAGGGCAGTGGTCTCGTAACCGAGAGGGCCTGGGTTCGAGACCAAGTCAATGCGCTAGTGCAATTTGGTAAGGCATCAATCATCATTATCAAATTCCATCGGAGAAGAAAGACGTCGGTCCCCTTGGTTGCTTACTTGCAATAATATCATAGATGCTTTCTTAGCGAACCAATCATCAAAAAAATTAGCGCCCCTGACATCAACAAGTAGAAAATCAAATTCAAGCGGTTAAACACTTACGGGTTGAGTCGCAGAGAGCTTAAAGGAGAAGTCCACCCTGATATTAAGGTGTTTTAAATAAAAGGAGGGGAGCTCGTAAAATAAATGCCACACAGTTCCCAATTTGTGTTTGATTAATTGCACCTTCATAACTTTCTTATTTTTAATCGGATATCGCTGAAACTTTCACCGACGCGTTTCTGTCATTTTTCTGCTTCTATATAAAAACGTTTAAAAACTTGATATCAACGCGGACTTCCCCTTTGAAACACATCAGTTCATCAAAAAGGAGTTATCAGCCCAACTCTGCTTCATAACCATTGAGACAAACACTCATTTGTTAATGTCCTTGCATGCGATGCTGTGTAGTGACTTTATAAATCCAACATGTCGCAATACAGATTCCGGACTGAGAGTTTCGACTAGGCTCAGCCGAGACTTGTCTTATAATTCTTTCTAACTCTTTTTACAGCTTTCAACACGGGTGTTGAGTTAATCATAGTTTCCTCCCTATCAACTGTAACCTGTTTACATCGCCAACATCTTGCAGATGCTGCAACGGTTCATTATAACAAGTATATAGAAGAGTGTCGATAGTCTCCTGTCCAATCTTTGAAGGCGATTTTTTCGCTTTCTCCTCCTTTTTAATGAAATATCACTTGAATGTTACATTCGTCAATATATTGAATACATGGTTCAGCTATTCCTGTCTTAATCTGTAGATATATACACGATAATAAATATAGGCCTAATACATTTTACAATCATGGTCAAACGGTAAATTCTATTTACCTTGTTATTACGTGATAATTCAGCCAAGAGGTACATTATGGACATTAATTAATGTACTTTGTCGCCCCTCGCGAGGCAAAGTAATCATAGATTCACCACTGACACTTTTTGCACTCGATCTCGAAATCATGATCCTTGTATTTTTAATTTGAATAGAACGAAAACCACATAAATATTTGATTTGTTTAGCCATAGCAACCGATTGAGACGTAAATAGTCCAAGAGAGACGATGATGTCATCCTGAATCGTCACGCAACAAATACATATTTTCCTCCATAACTGAAAAAGAGAGAGAAAGGGAGAAAGAAAGAGAGAAAGAGAGAGAGAGAACCTTACACCATGCCTCAAAAACCGCGCGCTGACCGCAAGAATTAAGCGCCCACTTGAAATATTCGTGTTTGTCTTGGTGGCAGACTACGCACTTCCTTTTTAAATTTCCTCCACATTTTAGCGTTTGCGGCTATTTTCTCTCTCTCCCTCCTTACCTCCTGTCTTCTTGACTCTCTCTGAGAATCCCAAGATAGATTCTGCCCCTGTTCCTTCAGAACTTCTCAGTAGAGGCACTTCTGGACTCATACAGTGAACCGACGTTAACGTTTTCTCGCTCATATCTATTCCTTGTCTCTTACAGAACAGCGGTTTTGTTCAGGATCCCCTCATTTTTATATGGATTTTATACTTTGGATACATTGAACGTATTTTGGAGGAATACTACATTGGTAAGTGACACATTACCTTTGCTCAATTCTTTATTTTCTTTTCGTTTTTGTAACGAATGAGAACATATACATGTACTGCAAATAGGATTTAGAATTTCAATATGTTTTAATTCTGTCGCTGTCAGTAAACGTTTCATTTTACTACAAATGCCCAATTTCGATTAGCTCTTTGCGTGCCAGAAAAAATAACATTGAATGGGTTTTAAGAGTAGAATCTATGCATTAATGCCCCATTGTTACAATAAGGATTTAACATTATTTTTTCTAGAGAATTAAATTTAACAAGTCAGGAAAAGAGTTGAAGCTTCTATATTGTCAGAATTACTGATTTATATGACTAACACATACTTACGCTTCAGGGAAATGACAATCGCTTTATAGATTAAGGAAACAAAGGAAATTCTCTTCCCTCATTACCCATTATCGAAAACGGAAGTTTACAATAATCATCTTGATCAACCAATATATTCTTTCGTCATGCAGATTGGTAGAAAGCCACTTTTTTCGGGAGTAAAATTAGAGATCATTTTTTAAATATATTGAATACACAAAATATTTAGTGGAATCCACTTCGAAGTAGTGGTCTAAATTACTCTTTTAGACTGGATTCTAATTTTAGTAAGCGTTTATTTCAACCAAAAAAACAAAGCGATCCCTAATATAACTGTTTACAGAGTGTGTTTTTACTCCTGTACATTTCAAGAGTGCATAATTATTATTGTTTCATACAAACAAAACATTATTTTTTTTATAAATTTGCACTATTTCATTAAAATCATTTTTCTAGACTTCACTATGCCATATATCTTAAAACGAATCTAGAGCTTTGTCAAACAGGTTGTTATGATCACGAATTGTTTCACAGCCTTGGCATAATTGGTGAACATCCGACGTCATGTATAAACAAGCTAACTGTCAAAGGATCTAATTAATAAAGTATCACTAACAGCATGAACACTGACTGCCATAGACTTTGTACATCCCGTTTCAGCAAAGGTAGCAAATGGCAACAAATGCTTAATAAAATCACTAGCGGAAGGCACCTGCCAGCATATCTTATGATTTAGATGTACCGTATAAAATTTAATGGGACATTACGTAAAATCAAACCAATGTGTCGGGGACTTCAACATAATAAGTAATTAAAAATGGTTAAAAATTGTCTGTTTTTATGTATCCCCCCCCCCCCCCCCTCAAGACACACTCGCAAAAAAAAATACAAAATACAAAAGGGGATATTTTTCTCATTAGACAATTGAAATACCTTCACTTTACTAGTTCATAATATTTTTTTTTTACAGTTGCAGTGTCAAGCATGCACACACTGAGCTATTGAGTAAATCATTCGTAGAAACTATTACTGACAAAACTTTTCTTCTTTCCATAAAGTGGAGGGGTGCACGTAAATGTTCGTTGTTTCCTGTTTTTAACGAAATGTTCTGTATTTTTTTTCTTCTGACTAAACCATGGGATTGGTCATTCATTTGATATGGGGCGCAGAGTCTGAGTATACGGTCACTTTTCACTCGATATGAAGGCGTGGTGCCTTAAGTAAACTATATCATTTATCAACCATCGTATTAGTATTGGTGTTGCTATAAGATATATTTATCTGATTGAAGATGCACTTGTTACAAATTATCGGGCAGACTGAAAAAGTACAAGTGCGCGACTGTGATCATAAACTAGATCGTTCACATTGTCAGATTTTTTTAGGCACAAGCAAAATCATTTTGCATTCTGATGCCAACAAAGAATGGTATTGGTAATAATTACAATAGAGATGAAAACTACAACAGCTTTCACATTCTTTATAGTAATGTTACACCACCTATTAAATGATTGGGTTTAGGGTTAGAGTTTAATAGCCCTAACCCCAACCCTTACCTATGGTTACTAATAGACAGCTACTGCTATACTGCTACTGCTACCACCATCACCACTACTAATACTATTACTACTTCTACTACTACTACTACTACTACTACTACTACTACTACTACTACTACTACTACTGCTACTACTACTACTACTACAACAACAGTACTACAACTAAAGTACTACTACTACTTCTACTACTACTACTACTACTACTACTACTACTACTACTACTACTGCTGCTGCTGCTGCTGCTGCTGGTACTACTATCACTAATATCACTAAAATGAATATCATTATTATTATAATGATAAATGAATAATAGCAATCATTATGATGATGATGATGATGATGATGATGATGATGATGATGATAATGATAACACCGTTCAATATCATTCATTCATTATTTCCATCGTGGTTTATTTAAGATTTAAAAAAACAATTGTATTACTTTCAGCATTGAGGATAATGATAATAAGGATGATAATAGTAATAATGATTATTGTTATATTAATAATACAATAATAATACAAAAGAACTTCGGACGAAAAAGGGATACAGAGAGAGAGAGTTTCAGGAGAAGTATTCTATCGTATCGCCGATGTTTTAGAAGAAGCGGCAATGTGTACAGACCTGCAGGTTAGATCGTTAACACTGATATTCAATTCCATAGACTGAGTAAGGGAAACCCGATAGGTTGTGGGTGGAGATGTCATGAATCCCTTGACCATGACTGGACACTCTGTTTGTCTGATCTAATAGTGTCTTTCTGCTATGGAAATATCTAATAATCATTATAATAAAATGGAAAACGATAAAAAGTGCTGTAGAAACAAAATGTTTTTAAATTGTATTCCTACATTGTTTATAATTGATTTGTAATGTTTTGTTGGAAACATAAGTAAATTGAAATTAAATTGAAATTAGATTGAAATTAAATATAATAAATTACTTTATTGCGGAATAAATTAATCGAGAAATTCTGACGTGTATGAAGGGTCGTAGTGATAAAAATTGTAGAAGAAAGAGTCAACATGATATAAGTATCAGCTGTAGCAGTAGTTGGTGTGATAAACAAGGAAAGTAGCATCATGACATTAAAAATTAATTATAAAATATAGGGACCATTTGGGACGAGAAATCCTTGACGCCTGCCTGAAAAAAAAACATTTTCCCGCTAGTCCGCTACTTTGCCTTACAGAACATTAATGTTTGAGAAAGTTGCAAGGTCATATAAAAACCAGGAAGTAGTGGATACGAGTAGATTAAGCTGGTTTGAATGAGCGTCTGGCTTTTAGAGAATGTCTTAGAATTAGTCATGATATTTGTTCGTGTCTCTTGTTAAAGTATGAAGGAAAAGTCATCGATGTTTCTGCAAAACAAGCCTTAAGGCCCGGTCACACAGGGAGGACGCATGGGGAACGCACGGCCAGCGCATTGGAAATTTGCAATTTGGGCCAGTGCGTTGTCGTTCGCTAGGCGTGCGTCATCATTCGTTACTCGTTCGTCGAGCGCGCTGGACCAACGCTGGACCAACGCTGGACCAGCGCTATGCATGCGTCGTCATTCGCTGTGTGCGTCGGGATTTTTTGAGCATGCTCAAAAACGTGCGCCGAGCTCGACGCATGAATATACACGCCAAAGGCACGCCAGACATGCGTGGAGCGCGCTAGACCAGCGCCAGACATGCGTGGAGCACACGCCCTGTATACGCACAGCGCGCTAGCTACACGCCGTGCATTTTGTGTCAGCTCGCTAGCTTTTCCAAAATTATGACAAAAGTTAGGCACACGTTCTTTTCCGATTTCCAATGCGCTGGCCGTGCGTCGTAGAACGCGGTGCATGCGTGGACCATTCGTCCAGCGCGCTAGCAACACGCTGTGCATTCGTGGAAGTTGTTATCATGTGCGCTCTGTGTGCGCCCTGTGTGCGCCCTGTGTGCGCCCTGTGTGCGCCCTGTATGCGTCCAGCGCGCTAGCAACACGTTATGCATTTGGTGTCAGTTAGCTGTAGCTTCGACAAAAGTTGGGCGCACGACAACGCACTGGCCAAAATTGCACATTTCCAATGCGCTGGCCGTGCGTTCCCCATGCGTCCCCTCTGTGTGACCGGGCCTTTACGTGATGATGAAATTGAACCATGGCTGTAGTGATACGATGAATATAATCATGCGGCGGGCCAGAGCAAATCCATGTTCTTTTATACGAAGCTGATAATGAGTTTAGGACAATGGTTAGGAGAGTGGAGACGACAGAGTTAAGAGTTACATCTGTAGACACAATTTCCGCTCTTTCATGACTTTCATAAATGCACGTTATGGAGTGATGATATATGTATAAGGGATATGCAAAGGAATTATTGAAGTAGGAGCATTATAGTTTAATTATATACTATCTTGACTCTCATACGAGAAGTCTCGAGTTCAATGCTTGCAAATTATTTGTCCATCGACGTTGGAGTCCTCAACATCACCTTCATTATCACCATCATCATCTCGACGACTACCAGCACCATCATCATCGTCTATCACCATCACCATCGTCCATTTCCTACTCCTCCTTCTCCTCGTCGTCGTCCTCCTCCTCCTCATCATCGTTCTCATCCTCATCATCGCCCTCGTCCTCATCCTCATCCTCTTCACCATCATAATCATCATCATCATCATTATCATCCTCATCATGCATCATCCTCATCCTCATCAGCATCATCCTCATCATCATCATCTTCATCATCATTAAATGCATGCATGGACTCTCAGTCAGCGCTGTCACCGCTTTTGCTCACCGGGTGTAGGTGCTAGCTAGCAAGAAAAGGGAAACGGTGTTTCGCTCCGCATTCGGCGATAAGGGACAAATCTTTCATCTCGACCTACTTCACCCAGCAGCAAACTTTCTTCCACTTTAAACTTCAAACTTCTCATGCTTCAAAGCCAAAATACGACGTGTCATTGACATGGCCGAAATACATTTCCTTGAACTAAATCAATTTTTTTAATGAGAGATCTTTTGGTATAGGTTTCGACCAAACATAATCAGTTTTCATAAACAGGCTAAGGAAATGCCGTTTATTTTCTCCAGTCACTATTTTACTTTCCGACCTATTTACGCCGAATGTGGTTTA